CCATGTGAGCAAGATAAACCATTAGCACGCGCAATATCGTAGATATTAGATAACGATAACAAATATTTAGTCCGAAATCCGTATATAATCCCATGCTGCAACTTCAAAGATACATGATGATTCAGTTAAAATTTTATATACCATTATAAAAGCATACAGTAGAACTATGATTCAGCTTTTGAGCGCTTGAAAATGATGTCAGAGCAATGAAACATCGGGAACGATGAAGAATCATATACAACTCTTCTGTTAGTCACGATTGCATGAATGAGGGGGTGCGCGCAAACTGGTGGTGTTTGAGGATGCGCAAAGGGGTTCAACAATTATCCGCATTTGAGCCACTAAAATGTTTGGCTATTACATCTCCATCAAACTTTTGACACTGTTAGCGATCAATGTAAAGCATGACAAAATTAACTGAATAGATGAATGAAAAGAGAGGAAAGATACCGATGGAACTCACCCAGGAACGACAAATTTGGAGGTATCGGACGCAACGACGACATCACACGATGCCACCAACTGGCATCCAGCTGCGGCTGCTATACCTCGAACCTAAATGTGCACGAAATAGTTTACAAGGTAGCAGCAAGGATATCGTGATCACAAAAACCATTTTCCTGCAAAGTTGTCAAAAATGTCAATATTAATTCCCGCAAGTTATGATGTTGCCAGACGCATCTATCTCATTTCAATACGCTTACTACGAAGTACACTTTCCACCTGAGAATTAGTTAGAAAAATAGTTCTAAAAATGCATTTGATACAATTGATGGACAAAAAATAGGGCACAAAAGCAAAGAAAAAAGAGAGAAACACTCAAAAACCTCAGCGATAACCGGTATCTCCATACGACGTATCAACAACATGAGATTTCCGCAATGCTCAAAAATCTTCTGATGCAAATCAAAACCAGCTTCGGCTTTCTAAAAAAATGTCTGGCGGTGATTCAACCACAGAAAATTATACCCACCAACTCCCGAAGATCGTGACCGGAAGAAAACGCGGGCCCTTCTGAGGTTAGGATTACAGATCGGACCTAGAGTAGCTTAACACAAATTGAAATCATAAAGCAAAGAAGCAAGTCTTCCTTAATGTGAAACCTTAGGAATTGTGTTGACCCCTTCCAATTCCTTCGTGAGTGCTTCAATCATCTCCAATGAAAGAGCATTTCGGCGTTTGACGTCTTTGAGAATAAGGCGAACTACGGACTCACCCTGGAAGCTTAAACCGTTACCCCTTAAAGCTGACTTTCAACATTTCAACATGTTGGATTTGAAACAAGAACAAACAAAAAGAAGTTTCGCAGAAGCAACTAACTAAATACAACAGAAGCCAGACAAATTACAAAGGAAAATTTGACATTACAGATTTTTTAGGAATGCGAAATCAGAGAATCGCTCGTTTCGTTTTTGACGCACCTGATACAATTCCCTACCTATCAACGATGATGCAGTAGAAAGCGATCTTCGAAGCAGCAACATTTTCGTTGCCAAGAGGCAGAAATTCCTTATGAATCTGAAAACAACATGGCGAGCTACGACTAAACCTCTACAAAAATTCAAAAAGGAGATAATCCATTAACGAAGAGAAACCGTTAGTCTCTAAAACAGAGTGATAAAGATATTTGAGGTTAGTTCTCTCACCTCGATATCCAATCATTCAGGGATTCTTTCAACTGATAATGATCATAGCAATGGAGCGCGTTTTGGAACCTGTACAAAAGTTCATTAGTGAGCACAAGGACTATAGTACAAAGCTTAACCTTCCCTTTTGTTCCACTGGATGGGAATCACTAGTCCCTACGTCAGTGAGATAGTGCGTAGATGAGAAGAACGTTACACATGAAC